AGGGCCTAAGCCCTGTCCCAGATGATATGACAGACTTTTGAGATTTCCCCCAAGAAGGGCCTCACCCTCCTTGGAGAGTGGAGTAGAGATTGAGGGAGGGGCTTGGGGAGGGTTGAAGGGGGGCAGGAGAGGAGGGAAGGGAGAGGGAGCTAGGATGACATGTGAAGCAAACTTGTTTCTAAATTAAATTTAATTAAAAATAAGCAAAAAAGAATTTTAAAAAAGGAGAATAAAAATGAAAAGTAAAATAAAAGATATGTTCCATTAAAAAAAAAGAAAATTAATGCTTAACCCAACTGTGCTGAGAGATGGGACCTCCAAGGATGGTTAGGTCACAAAAGCTCAGCCCTCATAAAAATATGCTATTTGGAGAGTCCATTCCTTGTAGAAGGATGAATTCAGCTTCCTTCCTCTGACCCTATCTCTTGTACGTGAGAGGCCTTTATCTGCTACTCTACACAGCAAGAAAATGGTTGGCTCACGCTGGCACCTTCTCTTGGACTTCTTGCCCTCTGGACACTCTGAAAAATAAACCTTTTTTTTAGTTTTTTTTGAGACAGAGTTTCTCTGTGGCTTTGGAGGCTGTCCTGGAACTCACTCAGTAGACCAGGCTGATCTCAAACTCACAGGGATCTGCCTACCTCTGCCTCCCTAGTGCTGGGATTAAAGGTGTGCATCACCACTGCCCGGTGAAAAACAAACTTTTGTTGATTATGAATTACACAGTTTCAGATGCTATAATAACACCAAACAGATCAGACCCTAAAATCTGTGTTTTTGTGTATTGTTCCAAGGAAAAAAGTCTATGTGCCTCCACTTCGTTGTAGACAATGTCCCGAGCATCCTAGACCAGTGATGTGCACTCCAGGCATGGGTTTGAGCGTCTGAACTAAAAAAAACGCAGTGACCAAAGTGCTGTGTTCTCAGCACAACACGCTGATATGGATTATCCAATCACATGGAGCAGTGTACAGTGTGATATGGATCATCCACTCACAGGAAGTGTTACTCAGTGTGACATGACTCATCCAATCACAGGGAGTGGTTTGCAGTCTGATATGGCTCATCCAATCACAGGGAGTGGTGTGCAGTGTGACATGAATCATCCAATCACAGGGAGTGGTGTGATATGAATCATCCAATCACAGGGAGTGGTGTGCAGTGTGATATGAATCATCCAATCACAGGGAGTGGTGTGCAGTGTGATATGAATCATCCAATCACAGGGAGTGGTGTTAGTGTGGTAGGAGCCACTGGAATGAGAGCATGGATTTAGACCATCATAAAGAAAGAAAAAAGGTCCTGTTTTCCTGATAGTAAAGGAAGCATTTATATCCATACCGGTAGGTATTAATGACATCAAAATGCTTCTGAAAATTATTTTTAGAAACAAGTTTCTTACATCATACCCATTAGAATGATACCTATTTCAAAACAAAATAAAAATTTGCAAGTGCTAATAGAACTCTTTTGTACTCCTAGGAATGTGAAGTATACCTTCACTATGCACATTCCTCTGAAAATTAAAAACAGGATTAACATGTCTCAGCAAGCACACTTGTGGTACATGTGTGTGTGTGTGTGTGCTCATGTGTGTACATGTGTGTGTGCTTGTTTGTATGTGCATATGTGTGCTCATGTGTACATGTGTGTACGTGTGTATATATGTGTGAGTGCTCATATGTGTACATGTGTGCTTGTTCGTATGTGCATATGTGTGCTTGTGTGTACGTGTGTGTGTATCTGTGTGAGTGCTCATGTGTGTGTGTGTGTACTTATGGGGAAGGTGTTTTCATGTGCTTTCCGGGAGAACCGGTATCAGGATCTTGCAGAGATAATTTGCGCTCATGCTCACTGCACTATTCGCAGTAGCCAAGACGCAGAAGTCACTCAGACATCAACCGAGGGACAAATGGTAAATAAATGACATATACATACAGTAGAATATTATTTTCCTTAAAAATTAAGGACATCCTGTTTCATACGACATGATAGAAGCTTAGGCCATTCAGGTAAGTGAAGGAAGTCAGACACAAAAATCAAAAGCAGTGTAATTTTACTTCCAGTAGACTCGCAGACACGGAAACTAGAACCCAGAACAGTGTTTGACAGAAACTGGGGATGGGGGCCAGTGTTGTTCAAGAGTTGGGGTTCCCTGTCCAAGGTGAAAAAGTTCTAGTGATCTGTTGTGATAGCTCAGCTTTCTTAACTTGAAAATCACTACGATAGTAAAAATAATAGAAGGAAGGAGAAAAACATTAGGAGGACTTTTGTTTTAATTCACCTCAGTTTTTAACTGGGTGTCCTAGGAAAACTAGGAAGTTCTGCTTACAGGGCTCATGGTGTCAAAGCAGGGAAGGGGTGTTCATAAGCAGCTGTGCCCCAGGAAGGACATTCACTCTAAGGTGTGTTCACCCACACCTATACAGACAGTCTCTTTACCCAGATTGTGGCCTGCCGCCTCCCTCAAGTCATGGGGCTCTCTTGGCTCATACCAAAGATACTCCCTGATTATGCTCAGCAAGGCACAGTCTCCCTGCTTTTCAGGCTCAGGCTCTCGTCTGCACCCTCGTGCCGCCTGCCCCTATAGGTGCATGTCTTTTAGGCATGTAGTAGGTGGGTAGGGCACCACCCTATTTCCTCATGTAACTGCTCCAGCTACTGTAGCACACAGGGTGTGGTCAGTCTCCAGGACAGGCCTGATCATACATAGTGCAGCAGACCTCACCCCAGCCCTGAGATCAACCAAAGGATGCTCTGGGAGCCATGAAGAACTGGTACCAAAATCCTTCCTCCTGAAGTGCTCCTGATTCCAAAACTCACAAGAATACATTTCTCCTCCTATTTACTGTAGACTGGTAGCAGAGGGGAAAACCCACCACGCCCTGGGAACCTCCTGGACTACCCAGTCCACTGTGACTCCAGTCACTCCCTCCATGGAGATGATCAGACGCTGGTGCTGGGTAGACCCCCAGTTACGTCTGTCAGCTAGTCCTTGACTCATTATTTCCAAGAATTCATCCTGATTTTGCCACACTTTTTGTTTCAATGACTTTTTAATTATCTTTCCCCCGTTTCCCTTCTTAATTGCTCACTTGTCAATTTAAAGAATTTCTTTTAAAAAAAAAAAGATGCCACTTTGGATGATGACAAGCACTTTAGTTAAAATTCCATTAAGCACTTCACCCAGCAAGCTTATTTAAGTGATCTGAGGGAGCCAGCACATAGACACTTCAAGCATGCAGTAATGCAAGGGTCTGGGTACTGTGATTTAGTGTCTGATTCTTATGTTATCATCAGTAAGCAAGTCAGTGACATACAAGTAGGATACTCCTTGCTAATGCGGCTGTGAGACTTGCTGATATTCCTCATGGATAACACTGAATTTAAAATTAATAAGAGTCGGCACTTGGAGCCCCACAGTGCACAACCCACAGAAGACTAGGCTGTGCACCAGTTGTATTTGCTGCTTTTCCTATTGCTGTGACCAAATAACCCAACAAAAGCAACCCAAGGAAGGGAGGGTTTGCTTTAGCTCTCAGCTCTACGCTACATGTGGCAGGGCAGTTGTGACAGCAGGAATGTGATGTAGTCCATTACCTGTGTCCACAGCCAGGAAACAGAGAGAGATGAAGTCTGGCACTCAGCCCACTTACTCCTTTTTATTCAGTTTGGGGCCCCAGTCTCTGGGGTGGTGTGACACAAGTTAGTGTGGTGCTGCGTATCATTCAACCCTGTCTATCAGCCTCTCAAAGGCATCTCCAGAGGCGATTCTAGACTATCAAGTTGATAGGTAATATTAGCTATTAGATTAGAGGACGCAGTTCCCTGAGTGTTCTCTTCATTCCTGTACTTCATAAACGTTTACTTCCTGGCCAAGGCCTGGGGATACTGAGAACAAGCTAGGCAAGGTTGCTGATCTCATGGATTTACAAAGGTCTTCTCATAGGAGCAGCCAAGGAAGTCTAAAGGCACCAGGAGGAAATCATTGTAGTGGTGGCCTAGTAGATGAGGAAATGTGGACAGCATGAGTTGTAAATCAGCAGCAAGTCTTGTAGGATCTGCAGGCCTTGGAAGGAGAAATGTACTTTAGTCTATATGTAACAGAAGCTATTGCAGAAGGCAAGCTGGAAGCCATACGATATAATTCACACCAAAAAAAAAACCCACTTTGCAGCCATACATGTGGGCTCATACCCATAATCCCAGCTCTTAGGAAGTTTAAGGCAGGAGGATTACTATGAATTGGAGAAGAACAGTCTGGGTTACAAAGTGAAACCTAGCTTAAAATCAACAAAATTTGGCTGTATCGTAGAAAATTAATACTGTTTCTGCTTTGACTTGTCTCACTATACTTTTAATGTGACCGGAAATGGCCCCTCCGCCATGACCAAGCTCTTCAACTACTTTAGTGCTTCCAGGTTAGGCCACCCTCAGGAGGAAAAGGTGAGGAGGGACGGGTCCTTCGTGCAGACAATGGAGAGGGAAGAAATCGTGAACCCAAGTGCTCAAATATGTATGTGCTCAAGACTTATCCTTTAGACAAAATGTCATAGTAGACTCTTTAGCTAATTGGCCTTTACTGCAATCCAAGAACTTTCCTGTATTATGATCTTAATGCACCAGTCCTCTGTTGATGACTAACTACACCCAGCCTTTGTCTATAGAGAATGGGAAAACTAGCTGCTCCCTACCACTCCAGGGAATCTGCAAGGATGCTGTTGGTTTGATTGGCATTTTATCCATTGTACTTTTTATGCAGAAGTGGGAAAACTGCAAAAATAAAATAAAATAAAAGAGATGAGAGTTCCAGAGTTCCAGGAGGAACGGTGGGAAATCAGCAGCTGCGAGTGTGGACCGTGATCATGTGCCAGGGAAGACACTTGGTATACTTCCTTTGGGCCTACTACACAGATCCCCGTGGGGTCCACCCGCATTCTTTCCATAGCCCTGCACTTTGGAGCAGAGGGCCCCTGTGCTAGGATGCAGGGGTACTTTACCAGCGTGGGGTGGCGGGGACGCAGTGGGGCTGTGTGTGGTGGGGCTGCTAGCAGATGAAGACGTGCTCAGGTCCAAGGCTCCGATCCTTGCATTCAAGGAAGATGTCAAGGACAGTTTTCTGGCCCTGACTGGAGAGGATGTTCTGGACACAGCCAGAGGAGGTGGGGAGGAGAACTTGCGACACAGACGTGGGGATTTTCCATCCACCATTTGTTCTCCTCTGTTGTTCGGGCTCGCAGCAAAAAATAACTCTAACGACCTAAAATAAACAGCAAAGGCTGTTAACAGATTGTCTCAAATATCACACAGCAATACCGTCCCAAGGTCGTCTACATTTGAAGGCCTTGATGACATCGCATTTCCACCGATGGATTTTCCTTGATCTAATTGCTACAGTGCACATGTCCTTGCTGGGGGAAACACAGACCCTGTCCAGGCCCGCTGCTCCCTAGCCACTAAGGTGTGCTACAGTCTTTAAAGTAGAGACCAGTAGCACCCAATCTTTGGGGATCCTGTTAAGCATGCCAAACTTAGGTGTGCTCCACAGCTACTGAGTCAACAAAACACCCCTTCTCCAGATGATCCAGAGGTACGTTAATGCTCAAGAGCATGATAATAATTAATAATAATAAGTAGCAACATTAATAAATGATGGTGATGATGCTAAAATAAAGAGTCAACTTGCAAATAATCATAGAAAAATCAAACGACATTTGGAGACTTCAGGCCCTTCCATGTCTTCCCTGGGGAACTCTGAGACCTTTTACTCAGCACTTCCACGGATGGGATAAGGTCAAAGGTGAGTCAATAGCTTAAGGACTGACATCAGCAATGCTGGAGTACCTGATAGGGATGGAGGTGAAAGGCTTCTTGTAGATATCAGAGAGCTTCGCCAGCACCACGGTGGCTGTGGTGAAAATTCGATAGGTGTGCAGGAAGGTGTTGAGGAAATCAATGCTCAGAAACCGCAAGTCTGTCAACCGCTCCAAAAGGCGCTCCACACTGGCATATCGGATCTGGGGCACTTTGCAGGAGTTGAGTGTTTTACTGAAACAGATGTCAGTGTCGTCTTTATGAAGACGGGCATCAGACCTACACGCAAAGCAGGAACATGTGAGCAAAGCTGCCGGAGCTCCTGCCTCAGCCACTGAGTGCTGCAGCGTCTGTTAACGCACACTCGTGTGAGGCTTCCAGTGTTTTCCACGGAAGACAGAGCAATGTGCAGGTGGTATGACATGCCACAGATGTGTATGGGAACATTATGTGCCACCATGACATTCTAATTTAGGGAGGCTAGAACGAATAATGGAGGTTGCAATGACATGTGATTTTACTGTGTGGACTCCTTCTTGCTCTGATTCAACATGCTTTATTAGAAAAATGATACAAAAGTCTCTTCTAGTAGGAAGAGAAAACATTTCTCATGTACTTAAAGCAGAGGTCAGAAGTGTGCTTAAAATAGAGGTGTGACAAGGACAAGGCCCAGTGCATGGCTATCCATGCTGTGTAAGCTATTAGGATATACTGGTTATAAATATGTAACACCAGTATACAAGATAAAATTTACTATTTTACCTTTTAGAACCAGCTCTTTGACTTTTCAATTATACTGCTTTCATATTAACTTATTTATGTGCTTCCAACATTTTCCTCTATTTAATTTCTCATCATCTTTAACAATTTTTCTTTTATGTTACTTTCTCTTGTGGTTTTCCTTTTATTTATTTACTTTTCATACTTATTTATGTGAGGAGATATATGTGGAGGTCAGAGGATAGCTGTGTGAATGAGTTCTCTCCTTCCACCATGTGGGTCCCAGGTGTCAAACCCGGTCATTGGGCTAAAGTTTCCATCATGCGGGTCCCCGGGGTCACTGGGCTGCAGATGCCCTTACCCACTCTGCCATCATGCTGGTCCCTCTCTTCCTTTCCCTAACCTCTTGAATTGAATTCATAATTGATTTATTTTATTCTTTCTAGCTTATTAATATGCTTAAAATTTTAGCATGATTTAGCTTGCAAATTGGCATGCTAAATTTGCATTCTGTCTTCAATATTCTGCACTATAGGAAATGAATCCTTAAAAAAAAAATAATATTGGGTAGCACTCCCCTGGACAGCATCTAGTACTGACTACCTTTCTATAAAAGCCTCTTGCATCTGCTGCCCTAACTTCTGCAGGAGGCCATTCACCGGCAGCCTGTCTAGGAGGACCACTGGAAGCCCCTGTAGCCTTCAATTCCTCACCAACTCTCTTGTCCTCTTCAGGACAGCATCAGAACCGACAACTGGCAGTCCTGGCTTTCACGACTTTGTTAAAGGACATGTGCAGGGCCTGTGACATTTTTGAGAGCCAACTTCTTGCTAAGAACCCACTGGCTTTGTCATGAGAGCTCCTACTCAGGTCTCTTAATGCCTTGGAGAATTTTAAAATACGTATTTCTTTTCTTTGTTCATTGATAAGCAAGCATCAGTGGTTCTCTTAGTTTGCTCTAGCACAGTGTTGCAAGTGCAGGTAAAAGCCCTTCACCCGCAGAACTTACGAGCGGTTTAAATGGGTAGCCTACCTTTGCAGAGGACTTGGCCGGCAGCAGCCTGTTGACTTCTTCATTCACACTATTGATTTTGGAAATATACCAGTAGGTCTTTGGAGGGTTTTGTTGTTTTGTTTTTAATAACACTGATCTTTCATCCATTTACTACATGATCCTCAACCAACAGTAGTTTCTTGCTCTTGAGTTCTCATTTGTCAAAAGACCTGGGTGGCTTTTATGAACTATATCAGTCTGTCTGAAATGGCTGGATAAAACAGTCATTTTTCTCTCATTTTTTCCCATCAAAATCTCCATCTTCTAAGAAAGACATGGTCAAATACTATCAAAAGAAAGCCTGAGTCTATATACCATTTCAAGGGATGCTTCATGTAATAGCTGTCACTATTTTGCATCCTAACTAGTTTTGAGCTTTGCATCTTTTTCACTATAATTAGTTTGTTCAAAACACTAGGAGGGGAAAATTGTTGCAGTCAGCATGAGATTAAGTTAAGCTAATTACACCACTGTCCTTCAAGTTTGTGATTATATTTTCATTTTAAGAAAAGAAATTAAATATTATTAAATTACTTAATTTTCTTTTATTACACTGACTAGGATCTTCAAGATTTCCCGAGGGACTCTCAAGACAGCCACGGTGTGTTACTTAAGCCTCCACTGGCAATCGCAGCTGGTTTTTTGTAAACACATAAAAAGTAATCTTGAGAGATGAAAGCCAAATCACCCATTATACTCGATGAGTTTTAAAAGGAAGTGAGTGCTTATGAAGTGATGTCATGCCAGTAACAAGATGTGGTTATGTTAGGATGCTTTTTCTTTTAACTCTGAAAAATGTTGATTTCCCCCTGCCTCTCCAGTGGCATGTAGCCATGGAGACAGGTGCACAGGGAAGCAGAAATACAGGCCTTAAAACATCTTTTCCTCTGGTTTAAGAGAACTAGTGAGGCTGGGCAAGCCTGAAGGGATAAATAAAGGCATGACCCTTCTTTCTGCCTTAGGACTATGTGGTGTGGAAGCCCTGGCGGGTCAGCAGGTCCTTCTCCCGTAAGTGTTACTTCTGTGAATTCAAAGGCAGAAAAGTTTGGTCTGCATGAAAGCGGTTATGCTAATGAGAATGGACAGGGTTACTGTCATGGTAGGGGACAGTAAATGCATGCATCACTGGCAATGGGGGGGTCAGACACACAAGTGAGGTTTCCATTAACTTTGGAAGTCAACACAATGTGTACAGGGCAGATATGCAGTTGTCTTGGGTTTCATGGGCTTTGAACTTACCTACAATGTCTGACTTACCATTCTGACTCTAAAGCAACATGGATTTTCAAATATATATTATTTGTGACATCAGTCATATCATAAAAATTAATAAGACAATTCTATTAAAAAATAAAACGTAATTTAAACCTGACTTAATATTCCATACTTGTTCTGAGTATTCAGATATTTTAATTAATTCAAAAAGAAATTTCTAAGTAAAAAACCTAAGAAATTCAATGCAAACAGAATCTTTGCCATAGGGTTTGAACACAGTCCTCCCCAAAATATTTTAAAATTGACTAAAATTTATGATGCTATTTGCAAATTTTATTTTAATGTTTTTTTCTATTGCATTCTCTGCCTTTATGTGATGTAATTAACAAGTTCTACAGCTGTTCTTGTACACTGGGGCCAGGCTAACATGTCTCTGATGTGTGAGATCATCCCTCTACAGGTAACATTATTGTTTGTCTCAGCGTGGCAGCTCAGACCTGAAAATATCCGCACAGGAAAGATGAAAGAAATGTTCTTATCTCCAAATAACTTTAAAGTATATAACCAAGTTGTTTTTGAAGAAGACATTCTACTCTTAAAATGTTGAATACAAGGGACTGAAGAGATTGCTCAGTGGTTAAGAGCGGTGACCTGGCTTCAATTTCTAGCATCCACGTGGTGGTTCACAACCATCTGTAACTCCAGTCCCAGGGGAGCTGACTCCCTCTTCTGGACTCCGAATTCACTGCATGCTCATGGTGCACAGACACACATGCAGACAAACACACATTCACATACAATTAAAACATGAAAACAATGTGGAACACAAATAACCAAAAACAAAATGAGAACAAGGAACAATGTCTTCCCTCGTCTCTGAATTTGAAGGAGAAGTAGCACACAGACCATTGACACAGAGAGCACTAGCATGCATAACTAGGAGCTGTTGACAGAGCTCCTCACTCTAAATCACAGCCTCCCAGTGATCCACTTAAATGGCAGGATTTGCTTTATTGAAATATGGACAAGATCGCAGCCTGAGCCAGTGGCCTCTGAGCAAAGCCAGACACATGCAGTGGGCAGACAGCGCCATATTCATGCCTGCGGGAACCTGTCAGGTGTGTTCAATGCCTAAACCTGGCTCTACAACCAAATCTGAGGGAGGGGATTCATACTCACTGGTATGATGCCAAATAAACCAGCCACACCTTCATCCACCCCCTGACCTTGAGCAGTTTTTATCTGAACTTGAACATCTTGACAGGATTTTTGTCCTGGGTGAGGGTATATGTTAATCATATGAAAACAAATCTCAATGCTATCTGCCAATAGGCTGTGAATCTGAAAAAGCATTCTGATATCAGCTATTGTTAGTTATACTTTAGTGTGAATTACTCCATGACTGATAAGATAGACCCACTCAAGACTCAAGACGAGGCAGAACCCTACTGACAATATTCTATTCAAGGTTTCTCATTCTCTGCCAATCTGATCTTCATTAAAATGGAAGGAAGAGGGTTGCAAGACTTACTTAATCATATGTGGCACAGTAACTTTGGAATTCTCTTCGAAGACTATAGTCATTAAACCATTACATCGTATATTGTCCACACACTGTGGGGGAAAAAGGCAATTAAAACTCACATAAAGATTCATGCAGGTCATAGTTACCCCATCATCTGTTTATGTCATATGCACGCACACACACACACACACACACACACACACACACAGAGAGTAGAGAGAGAGAGAGAGAGAGAGAGAGAGAGAGAGAGAGAGAGAGAGCAGATAGATTCTACACATTAAACTCAATCCATACTAGGAATTTTTAATTCAATTGAATTAGTTAATGAAAGAGTTAATTCAATAATATTGATATAATCAAATTGTATCAGCCAAATGCATGACAAAATACTGATGGGTAGTTATAAGGGATATATTTTCCCAGAATGTGTTTCCTTCTTATTAGATTTATGGAACCGAGGAATCAAACACGGGGCCTTGCATATAGCAGGCAAACACCCCCCCCCCAGCTCTTCAGCACCTGCTTCTTACAATTCTTACCACAGTATACTATGTCGCAATTCTGTGTCAATCAAAACACTAATCCATTTTGTACCTTTGATCCCAGCTATAGTCATTTTCTACCACCAGGGGCACTATGGAGTAGTCAGATTGTAAATGGCACTTGGTTGGAAATTATCTCTTACTAGCAAGCTCTGTGCCTACATCTCAGGTGTCTTTTTGCCAGTAAATCCCCACATTTTGCTAGTTTGTCTAGCAGTTTCTGTTGGCACCATGTAGAGTTGGTGAGGGGGCAGAGTGTAATTTCTTGTATTGCTGGCACACTTAACACTCTGCAACAACTTTTTCTCTTTTCTAAGAGAACTAAGAAATTTTGGTTAATTCCCCAATTTTTGCATATGCGTGCCTTATTGATTTAAAATCTTCTACAATTACTTTGGGTTAAATAAATATACCTTTTGGATAAAATCAATAAAAATAAGTACACAAATATTAAAATAAAAACTTGCTTCTAGTCACAATGATACAACACAGAGCTAATGACTGTAATTAAATGGTGCAGAGAATGTTATTATGTTATTATAACATGACATCACACAGGCCTTAATTTTAAAGCCTAACCTGATACTCAGTGTTGAAATAAAAGAATGACAGTGTGTGTAAGAGATTAGATCATTAATGGTTTGGTCAACTTGGTCTATAAGTCAAGTCAAATAAGTCATATTTGTTTTTCTTTCAAATCTTGCTTCCCTCAAATCTTATGTTATTATTTAAGCTACCAGGAAGAAAGGCTCTAAGCCCAGGAAAATGAAGTTTTCCTTTATGCATTTTCTTAAACTATAACATTGGAGCTTGGTATTGGCACAAAAACAGACAAGTAGACCTATGGAATCGAATTGAAAACCCTGAAATTAACCCACACACTTATAAACACCTGAGTGTTGACAAAGAAGCTAAAACAATACAATGGAAAAAAGAAAGCATCTTCAACAAATGGTGCTGGCATAACAGGATGCTGGCATGTAGAAGACTGCAGATAGATCCATGTCTATCACCTTGCACAAAACTTAAGTCCAAATGGATCAAGGACCTCAACTTAAATCCAGCCACACTAAACCTCTTAGAAAAGAAAGTGGGAAGTACCCTTGAACTAATTGGTACAGGAGACTGCTTCCTGAACATAACACCAGTAGCACAGACACTGAGATTGACAATTAATAAATGGGACCTCCTAAAACTGAGAAGCTTTTGTAAGGCAAAGGACACAGTCAACAAGACAAAAAGGCAGCCCACAGAATGGGAAAAGATATGCACCAACCCCACATCTGACAGAGGGCTGATCTCTAAAATTTACAAAGAACTCAATAAGAAAGTCTCCAAAACAACAAATAATCCAATTAAAAATGGGGTACAGAAATAAATAGAGAATTCTCAATAGAGGAGTCTAAAATGGCTGACAGACACTTAAGAAAGTGCTCAACATCCTTAGCCATCTGGGAAATGCAAATCAAAACAACTCTGAGATACCATCTTACTCCTGTCAGAATGGCTAAAATCAAAAACAGTTTATGCTGGAAAGGATGTGGAGAAAGGAGAGCACTCCTCCACTGCTGGTGGGAGTGCCAACTTGTACAGCCACTTTGGAAATCAGTATGAAGATTCCTCAGGAAAATGGGAATAAACCTACCACAAGACCCAGCAATTCCACTCTTAGGCATATACCCAAAAGATGCAAATTCAAACAAGGATGTCTGTTCCACTATGTTCATAGCAGCATTATTTGTAATAGCCAGAACCTGGAAGCAACCTAGATGCCCCTCAACTGAAGAGTGGATAGAGAAAATGTGGTACATTTACACAATGGAGTACTAGTCAGTGCTAGGATTAAAGGTGTCTGCCACCAACGCCTGGCTACAATGGAACCTTGAAATTCAAAGGCAAATGGATGGCATTAGAAGAAACCATCTAGAGTGAGGTAACCCAGTCACAAAAAGACAAACATGGTATGTACTCACTCATATATGGATTTGAGACATAGAGCAGGAGATTGCTATCCTACAATCCCACTGCCAGAGAGTCTGGGAAACAGGGAGGACCCTAAGAGAGATATGCATGGTACCCCAGAGGAGAGGAATGGGACAGGATCTTCTGAGCGGACTGGAAGCATGTGGGAGGGGAGAGGGAGCTGGGGAAAAGTGAGGAGGAGAAGAGGAGAGGAGAGGAGGATATGGGGGAGCAGGAAGGTTGAGTCGGGGAAGAATAGAGGAGAGCAGGATGAGAGATAACACAGTAGAGGGAGTCATTATAGTTGAGGAGAGATCTGGCACTAGTGAGATTTCCAGAAATCTACAAGGATGACACCAACTGGCAATCTAAGCAATGTGGTCAGGCTACTTTAAATGCCCAACATTGAGATTGATGACCACCTTGTATGCCATCCTAGAGCCTTCATCCAGTGGCTGATGAAAGCAGAGGCAGACACCCATAGCTAAACACTGAACTGAACTCCTAGAAACCAGTTGCAGAGAGGGAGGAGTGATAAGCAAAGGAGTCAAGACTTGGCTGGTGAAACCCACAGAGGCAGCTGACCTGAACAAGAGGGAGACCTTGGACCCCAGACTAGTGACTGAGAGGCCAGCATGGGACTGATCCAGACTTCCTGAATGTGGGTGTCAGTGAGGAGGCCTTGGCAATCTATGGGGCCATGGGTCTTAGATCAGTATTTAGCCCTGGCGTACAAAGGGACTTTAGGAGCCCACCACATGGATGGATGCTCTCTCAGCCTGGACTCTTAGTGGAGGGCCTAGGCCCTGCCTAGGATGATATGACAGACTTTGAAGATTCCCCATAGAGGGCCTTACCCTCCCTGGGTAGTGGAGGGGGATGGGGTAGGGAGTTGGTGGGTGGGTGGGGCGGGTGAGGGAGCCGGGATTGACCTGTGAATCAAACTTGTTTCTAATTTAAATAAAAATAGAGGGAAAAATTACAACATTAGGAAATAACTTTGTTTCTTCACACAAATACTTAGTTTCTTAGCTATTGATTTACTTACATGTGTTTATAGGTGAATTTAGGCTCCACCTAACTCCTACAATGTTGATGCTAAAAATTCAGGACACAAGTCAAGATAGGCTAGATCAAAGCAGATTTGAATAAAAGGCAGAAAACAGTGAGCTAATGCCAAATATCAAGCCACCACACAACTGCATGTCTAAACATTTGCTATAAATAACCCTCAAAATAACTGGGGTATGGGGAACCAACTCAAAGATGAACATACTAGAAGACACACAGTTCACAGTTTGCCAGAATTCCAATGAGACCTAGTTCAAGATAAGAGGGAAAATGTATTGTAGGTTGTCATAAAGAAAATACTAAATACAATGCTCTCCCAACACCTTTAAAGTAACAAGTATAACCAAACTGTTTTTAGAAATACCTTGAAGTCCAAGTGAGCAACCCCATGCTGGACTCCAAAGAATATGGCCTAGAGACAGCTTCTACAGCTGAGCTGATTCCAAGCACAGACCTAAGACTCTCAGAAACTGAAGGCTGCTACACATTCACATTAAGTCTTAGGTCATTGCAAAGTGAAAACATTGTCCCCCTAGTCCTGAACCAGCAGCACTTTATATGCTCAGTTTTGGGGGCGTGTCCTCCAGTGAGCCAAGCTGCCAAGATGACATGGCCTTTGCAGGAGAGTTCTCAGGGCCTGATGGTGTTCTGGTAACCCCACTGCACAGTAAATAATGAAGATGAGTAAGGGAATGGTAGGATCAACTGGAGTCAGGCAATGGGAAAGAGAATGTTGAGTTAACTTTTATCTTGAAGGAAGATGGGTAGCCACTGAGGACTTCGAGCAGTTCCTTTATATTGGGCCATCTAAAACACTCATTGATATATCCACTGTAAAGGGAACAAGGAAACAGAGCTCTACGAGCTCATTAGAACAACATTCTGAGCTGATAAATGAAATGATTCATGTTTCCCAGGAGATGGATTGTGGGAATGAAAAGGAAAGTGAGATACTCTGAGGAAAAATATAAGAAAAGATGATTAGGTAAAGCATAAAAACAAGAAAAATCTATGGTAATGGTCAAATATGCCCTTACTAAAATATAAGTTAGAGAAGGGGAGGAGGGAGGTGAACATGAGAGTTCAGGAAGATCGAGTTGGGGGAAGAACAGAGAAGGAGAGCATGGAAAGAAAGGGAGCCATTATGGGCTTAACAAGAAACCTACCATTAGAGAACTCTCCAGGAATCCACAAGGATGAGTCCAACTAAGAGGCTACCTTAAATGCCCTTACTCTATAATGAGATTGATGACTACCTTAAATGCCATTATAGAGCCTTCATCCAGTAGCTGATGGAAGCAGAAGCAGAGATTCACAGCTAAGCATGGAGCTGAAATCCTGGAATCCCTTTGCAGAGAGGGAGGAGTGATGAGCAATGCATGAAGACCATGCTGGGGAAACCCACATAAACAGCTGACCTGAGCGAGTGGGAGCTCATAGACTCCAGACTGATAGCTGGGGAACCAGCACAAGACCAAATCAGGCCCCCTGAATGTGGGTGTCAGTTGGAGGGC